TGAGACTGTCATCGCCCCTCGAGCCTGTTTACCTCCTGAACAAGCTCTTAACCACCACCCGTGAGGGTTATTCCCAGCAGAGGCCGCCACTGGGGAAAGGCCCGGAGGAGAGACAGAGCCTGGCTGCCCCTGGGCCCGCGGCAGGGCCGACAGGGAGGCGACCCGAGGGGTCTGTGAACCACTCTGAGGGAGCTGGCGGGGGGCGCGGGCTGGGGGGGCAGCAGGGCCTCTGTGTGTAGGCGAGCAGCTGGAGGAGGGGCCCCCGGGGCTGCAGAGTCCCCCCGGCCGGGGCCAGCGGGGGCCAGCTCGGGTGGAGGCCGTGGGGTTGGGCACACGTGGGAAGGAGGCTCTGCACTAGCTCTCTGCACGCGGAAGGTGGGAGCGGCGGCAGGGCGGCCAGAGCAGCGGGGCAGGGGCCTGGCAGGTGCCGCTCTCACCAAGGCCCCAGTGGTCTTTGGAGGACCAGGTGCGGGTGCGTTGGGGAGGCGAGGGGTCGCAGGGGCCGGTGTGAGGGAGGAGGGTGGACTCGAATGCCCGGCAGGGTTCACCTAAACTCAGGCGGAGCCCTGGGTGCCTGAGCCCCACGTGCGGCCCGGGGCCGTCTGCGCTGCTGAAAGGGAGGCCAGTGCCCACACCTGCGGCGTGTGGTGCAGACGAGGGTGCAGTGACCCAGCCGACAGGATGCTCAGAGAGTGCAAGAGAGGAACTGGGCGCTCAGAAGACTGAGCTCATGTCTGGTGCAGGGCAGCAGGGTGGGGACGGGGTCAGGAAAAGGGTGACCCAGGCGTGGGGAGTCAGCACCAAATCCTCAGGGCAAAGCTGGGACACGCAGAGGGCAGGGGGCCCCCATGACCCGGCGCCTCGGGCCCCGGAGAGGGACCAGCACAGAGGGTGGCGGCCAGGGGAGGAGCCTGTGTGGTCAGAGATACCCCCGGTGTCTCCGTCCGTCTGTCCATCCATCTGTCCAGGCTGGGCCCACGGCTGGCGTTCCTAACACTGCGCTGTTGTTTTCAGCGAGGCAAATGACCTGGGCGGGCAGAACTATAAGAACTACAAATAGAGGGAAATGGACCCGGAATGGAAGGGACGGGAGAAAGCACAGGTGCCTTTGAAAATCTATCACATGACTCAGTGCAAACAAGGGTGTCTGAGCCACGTAACCACAGAGAGCAGAGCAGTTTTCGGGTCTGGGAGGAAGGTCAGTGACCCCACATCCTGAGCGCAGGAGCACCGCTGGGGAAGGGCTGGGGCCTCAGGGTCTGACCCTGGGAGGTCACCCTGAGTCCCAGTGGCAGACCCAGACCCTGACGCCGGGCTTCCTGAATCCTCTTACGCCACTGCCGCTGCCCACCGTGTGTCCTGGGAGGTCGTCACCTGTCTGCCCACCTTAGCAACCTGCTTTTTATGGCAGTGGGCCCGCCGGGCTCTTGGGGGTGTGGGCAGGGAAAGCGTTATGAACAAACCAAAACGAGTGGTGGTGAAAGAGATGGCTGGAAAATGTGCCTAAAACAGGGAGTGCGGCACAGGGTTAGTGGTGCCGGGTTAAGTCGGTCCAGGGTTCGAGCCCCAGCGTCCTGCCTGAGGCCCGGCCCAGCTCCTGCTTCAGCATCTCCTGTCATGCTAGCACAACACCCTCTGCAGGGCGGGGCTGGGAAGACGGAATTCCTTCCCTCAAAATGTGTTCCAGCCACGGTTCTAGGCACTGGCAGATCCCGTGAACCAGATGGACCAACAACCCTGTCCTCAGGGCGCTTGTGTTCTACCGGTGCTGGGAAGACACAAGCAATAAACAGGACGAGGGAGGGAACTGTGGGAAAAGGCGAAAGGAGAGCAGGACTTGGGGCATCAGAAGTGTCGGGGGGAGGGCTGCAATTTCTAGAAGGGAGATCGGGGTCACTGAGAAGACCTGAGGGTGGGGCCTTAGGTGGGAGGAGGGACACGCTGGCCAGCACCCAGGAGGCCGGCCCAGGTCCGAGACGGCCCCAGTACAGTGGAGGTCTGGGGGAGGCGCTGACAGCTGGATGGGGCCAGCGAGGAGACCCCGGGTTCCCGAGGTGGTGTCGCACGATGTCGGGGAGAGTCACACTGGAGCCAGGTGTTCAGGCTGAGCGTCCAGAGGCGAGAAGGACAAAGGTGTCCTGAAGCCTCCAACTGCCTGTGAGCAAGTGGGAGGGGGGAGTCTGGCCCGAGTCCTGGCATCTGTCTGAGGCCTTCGGGTCGGCTCTACTCGGGGCCCCAGCATCACGCAGGCCCCCCAGGCTCCCCACCCCCCCGGGAGCCCCATGGTCTCACTGTTGTGTTCAAGCTCACTGGGAAAGCCCCCTCCAGGCAGCACCTACATCTCCATTCACATCCATTTACCTACATTCCCAACAGCTCTTTAAGGTGATCAGAAAATGCTGCATTTTCACAGAGAGCTTGTTCTGGTAAAACATCCCCTTCCCCTTCCCCTTTCTCTCCCTTTGTTTTTCCCAATTTCACAGAAATTCCTGGCCCTCACTGGCTTTGCTCTCAAGAACAAAAGCATAATAAATATCTTTTTCAAAGCACCACTGCTTAACCCTACAGCCCAGTCTCAGCCAGTTTCCTTCAGGTCCTTGGACTGTCATATCACCATTTACTTTCTTTTTTTAAAAAATTAATTTAGTTATTTTTGGCTGCTTTGGGTCTTCGTTGTTGCACGCAGGCTTTCTCTAGTTGCGGCGAGCGGGGGCTACTCTGCGTTGCGGTGCGCGGGCTTCTCATTGCGGTGGCTTCTCTTGTTGTGGAGCACGGGCTCTAGGCAGCCGGGCTTCAGTAGTTGCGGCACGCAGGCTCAGTAGCTGTGGCTCGCGGGCTCCAGAGTGCAGGCTCAGTAGTTGTGGCGCGGCATGTGGGATCTTCCCGGACCGGGGCTCGAACCCGTGTCCCCTGGATTGGCAGCTGCATTCTTAACCGCTGCGCCACCAGAGAAGCCCACCATTTTCTTTTTTAACCAACAGATCCCAAATGTGACTTGTTAGAACAATTAACTAACATCTTTACTATGTGAAGCACTCACGCAAGCTGATTACGAAACAAAACACCATGGGGGCGGGTGGTGCTGTGAGGTGGGGCGAGCCCCCCAGATGGGGCTCCTGCCAGCCCCGGCCCTGCGGTCCAGAGAGGCCCTCCGTGTGAAGTTCAATGATGGAGAAAAGCAAAGGCCACGTTCAGAGTCGGGGGAGGACCTTTCACTCTCACTCGCTCCCTCCGTAAAATGAGAACATAACCCGCTCGGAGGTATTCCTGCAGGTGGACTAAGCCCAGGCCCCAGCCTGGAGTAGGGCTAACTCAGTGTGGGAGCGTCTCATGGACACTGTTATGGACGGAATTGTGTCCCCTAAAGTTCAACAGGACTGCATTTGGAGATGGAGCCTTTAAGGAGATAATTAAGTTTAAAGGGGCCCAGATCCCACAGGACTGTGCCCTTATAATAAGGGGAAGAGACAACAGAGGGACCTCTGGCTCTCTCCGAGGAAAGGCCGGGTGAGACACAGAAGAGAAGGCAGCTGTCT